GACAGCGCCCAGGCCCAGAGTTCAAGCTCCACAACTGAAAAAAAAAAAAAAATACCACAAACTGGTCAGGTGCTGGTGGCTCATGCCTGTAATCTTAGCTACTTGGGAAATCGAGATTGGAGGATTAAAGTTCAGGGCCAGCCAGAGCAGAAAAGTTCTCAAGATCCCTTTGCAATGGAGAGCTGGGTGCGGTAGGAAATGCCTGTCCTAGCTACAGTGGAAAGCCTAACATAGCCATAGACTACAGCTCAGACATAGCCTAGAGAAGAAGCAAGACCCTATCTCAAAAATAACCAGTGCAAAGCCAAGCACTATAGCTCATGACTGTAATCCTAGCTACTCAGGAGGCTGAGATCTAGAGGGTCACAGTTCCAAGCCAGTCCAGGCAGAATAGTCTGGAAAGGCTCCATCTCCAAAATAACTAGCAAAAAGCCAGGCAGGACGTATGACTCAAGTGGTATTGTGACAGATGAACAAGCAAGACAAACACGTGCAAGGCCCAAGTTGAAACTCTGGTACTGCCAAAAAAAAAACAAAAAACCATAAGCTGGGTAGCTTAACCAACATTTGTTGTTCACTGTTCAGTTCTGGATTCTAGAATGTCCAGAATGAAGGTATGGCAGTTAGTGTCTCTTGGTACATAGACAGCTACCTTCTTACTGTGTTTTCATATGGCCAGAAAGGGGGCAAGAGGTTTTTTTTGGTCCCTTTCACAAGGATACTGATCCCACTCAAAGATCCCACCTAAGTCCGGCGCTGGTGGCTCATACTTGTAATCCTTGCTACTCAGGGGGCTGAGACCTGAGAATCCTGGTTCAAAGCCAGCTGGAAGCTGTGGTGGAGTGCTAGCCTTTAGCAAAAAGCTCAGAGACAGCGCTGAGGCTCCAGACTCAAGCCTTAGGGCTGGCAGACAGACAGACAGACAGACAGACAGACACACACACACACACACACACACACAGAGGCAACTCCTGCCAGGTGCCAGTGACTCATGCCTAAAATCCTAACTGCTCAGATGACTGAGACTCCATCTCCAATTAACCAGCAAAATGCCAGACTGGAGCCATGACTCAAGTGGGTAAGGACCAGCCAATAAAACAATGAGGCTCTGATTGAAACTTTGATATGGGGAGAGTTCCTCTTCCTACTTCCTACTTCTAATTTCTCTCCCCAAAGATAATAACCACAATCAATGGCATTTTGAGTCCCCTTTGAGGAATTCTCCATAGGATTATGATTAAGATCACAGGTTGTGAATGGGCACCAGTGGCTCATGCCTGTAATCCTAGCTACTCAGGAGACTGAGATCGGAAGTTTGCAGCCAATCAGGACAGAAAAGTCAATGAACTTTTGTATGGGCCCATCAGCGTCAGTGAGGGGCTGGAAAACAGTTCACAAAGTGAGAACTAGCATGTGGGGGGGGGCTCTGTAGGGAACTGTCTCTGAAGTTTGGGAAGGGCTGCAATGGTACTAGCAACCTAGAGGATAGGGCAACTCCCCAGGCTCCTGGCCAAGCAGATGGAGAGCTTAATTTCATCTCGATTGTCCCCACAGAGGTTTTTTTTTTTTTTTTTCCAGAGGAAATTGGGTTGATAGGATTAGAGGAAGGGGAGCCCTTAATGAGCAGTGGCTGCTTTGTTAAATGTTGAAGCAGATATGATTTTCCCCTGTCATCATCTTGGTGGTAGATCCAGGCTCTGGAAAGGACTTCTTGGATGCCCCAGGCAGCTGCAAAAAGGGCAGCTGGGATTGTAATGCGGTGGTAAATGCATGCCTGGGGTATGAGAGACCCTGGGGTGGATCCTCAACACCACACATAGACAGACAGACAGACAGACACACACACACACACACACACTCCTCAAACATCTTCCTAGATCAGGATTCCTGCAATAAGGTTTCAGGAAGGAGGTGATAAGATCACAGGTTCAGGGGCTAGTCATTTCCCTTCCCCAGCCTCAGAGAAGGATGGGACCGACCTAGGCACTGGTGGCTCACACCTGTAATTGCAGCTACTCACGAGTCTGAGATCAGAGGATTGAAATTTGAAGCCAGCCCAGGCAGGAAAGTGTGAGAGTCTCTGATCTCCAATTAACCACCCCAAAGCAGCCAGAAGTGGAGCTGGGTGTGGCTCAAGTAGCAGAGTGCCAGCCTTGAGGGGAAAAGAACAGAAAACAAAACAAAAAAAACCCTTGGAGACAACACCCAAACTCTGAGTTCAAGTCCTCGTACCAGCGCAAAAACACAACCCCAACCCACAGGGGTCTGTGCGTGCGAGGACTCATGTTCCGTGACCGTGCTCCGAATGGCAGCTCTGCAGATAGGGTGAGGCGGATCTGATCCCCGGGGTGTCTCCTCCCCGTGGGGAGGGCGGGCGGGCGGCGCCAGGCCCCCAGCCCGTGGAGTGGGTGCCTGCGTGGTGTCCAGGCGACCGGAACCCGAGCCACACCAGCCACGACCCCAATGGGCACAGGTTGGGATGCATCAGACCGGCCCGAGTCCAGCCTGGGCAGCATCGGCCGAGAGCGCACTGGGCGAGGTGCACCACGATCCCCTCGGTGCGTCCACACACCCGGAGACGGGCACCGCGGGCGCGAACACCGTCCCCCGGCCCGCCCCGCCGCACCGGGACCCGGGAGCCGGGTGACTGCAGACCGCCGCCGGCCGGCGGAGGAGGCCGGTAATTAGCGGGTGGAGGAGTAGAGCCTGCCGGCTAATTAACTACAAGAGAGGGTGCCCCGCCCGCCGGCCCGCCTCCGCCCAGCCTCCCTCCTCCGCCCTGGATGACTCATTCACTCATTCATTCATTCCTCAATTCATTCATTTATTCCTCTCCACTCTGGAGCAAATCACTCATTCCCTCTACCCTGGGGTGAATCATTCCTTCCACCCAGGAGTAAATCATTCCTTCAAAGCAGCACTCACTGTGCAAGGCTTCAAGCTCACCTACTAATTCCTGGTAATCAGGGGCTGCTGTCGGAAAGCTGAGGTCAATGTGGGGTTGAATTAACCAATCCGATAGCTAAGGGGCGGCTGGGGGATTTGCCTCTGTTTTATTAACACTCATTGGACAGTGAAGCTGGGTCCAGGACAGGAACCTCACCGACTGCAGTAATCGGATGTCTCTTTCTGGGCTTGAACTCTGCTCCTATCTGGATACATAACTCTCTAGTCTGGGTCCCAAAGGCATCAATAAAACGGACTCAGCATTAAGGTTCAGCGAAAGGCAGTGGAAAGTGTTAAGGGTGTTGATAGGCTAGGTCTGGAGTTCTCTCTGGGTCTCTGGCACCCCCTGCCGGCCAAAGGAGGCAGTGTTTCTGTGTAACCAGGTAGCCACAGTGTTTCTGGGTAAGATGGGATGGGATGTCAGGGTGAGAAGAAAAAGAGGGGTGGTCACTAGTCCCTCAGCTGGGCCACAGCACAGCCTCCTCCCCTTCTCTCCTTGGAATGACAACTGTGGGAGAAAGGAAGATGCCAATTATCAGATGTAAAAGGTGTCTCAAGGCCCACACTGGTTTGAGTCCACTAGAAGTCTACAAAGTAAGAAAAAGCACAGGCTCTACAACCTACCCAAAAATATATAAATAAATAATAATACAAAATTCCATTAGCAGTCAGAGCAACGCTGTGATCATATGTCATACAGGTTCTAGAAAACATTAGTGTCCACACTGAGAGAATAAAAAAGGAAAACAACCTTTTAATTATTATTGTTATTATTATTATTATTATACCAGTCCTGGGGCTTGAACTCAGGGCCTGTGCACTGTCCCAGAGCCTCTTTTGCTCAAGGCTAACATTCTACCACTTGAGCCACAGTGCTACTTCCAGATTTTTCTGTGTATGTGATGCTGAGGAATTAAGCCCAGGGCTTCATGCATGCTAGGCAAGCACTCTACCCCTAAGCCTCATTCTCAGCCCTTAATTATTTTTTTATTATTTTATTAACCTTTTGTTATTGTGTGTATGCTGGTACTGGGATTTGAGCTGAGGGCCTCACACTCTTGTTTAGCTTTTTTCACTCAAGGCCGGTGCTCTACCATCTGAACCACACAGTGCCACTTCTAGCTTTTTACTGGTTAATTAGAGCTGAGTCTCCTGGCCTGGTCTGCCCAGGCTGGCTTGGAATAGCCATCCTCAGCTCAGTTTCCTGAGGAGCTAGGATTACAGGCCTGAACCGCCAGTGCCCAGGTTCTCAGTATTATAGAAGTAATTTTAAAGTCTACGAGTCCTGAAGCAGAATCAAGGAAAAACAGTGGTAGCAGAAAACAGCCCAAATGACAATTATTATCCCTTGGTGGTGGAATTGCAATCCATTTTTATTTTTTTCTTTTTGTTTTTCTGATAAAACACACAAAACTGGAAGCAGGGTGTGGAAGGGGATGCCTGTAATCCCAGCACAGGGAGGAGGGGAGGAGGGGTGGGAGAGAGATACAGCACCACAGAGGGTGGTGGCAGTAACTCAAAGCGAGGAAACACCCACCTCCACAAGACCCTGTGACAAGGCCCGAAGAGGAACAAAGCGCATATTTGCGTCTACATTAGCGGACCGGGTCTCACCTGCACGCAGCAGCCCGACTTCCCCCGTTGACAATCCGGGGGCTTCAAGCGCAGGATCTGGGCCTCTAAAGTTCCAACTTGAGGAGAGAATCAGGGTAAACTGCAGCCACAACAGCGTTGCAAGGTCCGGAGGGCTGAGCGCTGCTGCAGCGGCTGCACGCCGGACACTGAGGTAAACGCCGGCGCGGAACAGAACCTCCCACCCTCACAAACACCGTTCAGCCAGTCAACTTCCCCAACAACTAAATTTAGAGGTCTCCGAAAGACGCCTGCGCGCTAGCAAACGCCTGCGGGGGGGCGGGGCTTGAAAGAGACTGACGCAAGGATGAGCCTCTCAACTCTAACCCCGCCCCTTACCCCGCCTCCACCTCTGAGTGGCTGCAAGCCTGTGGAGGCAAACTTCTCATTAGCCCTGGGTGGTCAGGGGGCGGGACCCACATCCGGCGTGCGCTCCCGGAAGCCGCGAGCGCGCAGGCAGCCATGGTGCGTTTCAAGCACAGGTAAGTAAGCAAGCCTCCCGGTCTTCCCGGATCCTCGGCGGCCCCGGCTCGCGCTCACCTCGCGCTTGTTGCCCGCTGCAGGTATCTGCTCTGCGAACTGGTATCCGACGACCCCCGCTGCCGCCTAAGCCTGGACGACCGAGTGCTGAGCGTCCTCGTACGGGACACCGTCGCCCGGGTGCACGGGACTTTCGGCGCTGCCGCCAGCTCGATCGGCTTCGCGGGTGAGGGCGCCGGGCCGGGGCTGCGGGGCTGGGGAGGGAGCCGGAAAGAAGGGCGGCCAAGCCCGGGCACCTTGATCCTCCATTGGTGACGGCTTTTAGCAACCAGGACTGGAACTCCAGACGGGAGACCGAGTTGATGCCGACATTGGGCAATTTCAACATCATCAGAAACTTTCCGGTACCCGTTTGACGTCTGCATTATTGCAGGTTGGGAATGAACTTGATCGGACAACTGGGGGAAGCAGTTAATAGTTCAGGATAAAGAGGCAGTATTTGACCAGTGACAAATGGTGAAACTTACAAGGGCCGGAAAGCCCTGAGCCATACAGAACACCAGATTGTTTGTACTTAAATGCAAGCCCAGCCAAGGTAAAGGCCCTCTCCCCACCCCCAGCAATTCCCCCAGTTGCTATACTTTTATTTCCTCTTTACCAAAACTCAGACTTAAATCCTGAAGAATAAATTATCGGGCTGCCAGACAATAGTTTGATTTTTCTTGAATGAAGCTGGATGTCTCTGGTCCTGTTTATTGAATTGACTAGTCAGTGACTGAATGTTTTAAATTCATTCACCAGTTAAGTTGTGCAACCATTGTCTCCACAGATGGTTTGTCCAATGTTTTTTTTCTTATTCCTTTCAGTAATCTTGGAACTCGAAGCCTTGGGCTCCCACAGGTGGCGCTCTAGCCACTTGAGATACGCACACTTCTGGCTTTTTGGCTAGCTAACTGGAGATGAGTCTCATTGGATTACGCCTGGGCTGGCTCAGAACAGCAGTCCTCATCCCGCCATCTGAGTAGCTAGGATTTCAGGCATGAACCCCCAGCAACTAGCTTTCAGGAATGTTTTTTTTACTTACTTGCCCAGAGCAGCTTTTGCATGTAGTAGGTTTCTCCCAAGGTTTATTTAAGTGCGATTTTTGTGAATCCAGTTTTCTAAAATGCCTTTTTCTTCCTGCTACAGTTCGTTACCTGAATGCCTATACTGGAATAGTGCTGCTTCGATGCCGAAAGGAATTTTACCAGCTTGTGTGGTCAGCGCTTCCCTTCATCACGTACTTGGAAACCAAAGGACACCGTTATCCTTGCTTTTTCAACACATTACACGTGGGAGGTAGGCGTGGCATGATGGGTCGTTTTTAGTGATTGGTTCAGAGATCAATCTTGATAGGTGAGGGTAGTCTGACAGCCCATCCCAGTGAGAGCCACAAACTCCCCTACCTCTGAAAGACAGCCTTTTCACAGGCTGTTGATGACAAAAACTTTCATTTAGGTACAATAAGAACCTGTCAGAAGTTCCTGATACAGTACAACAGGAGGCAGCTGTTGATCTTGTTACAGAACTGCACTGATGAAGGTAAGCAACAGAGGCCAATGAGCAGTGACTGAGTCTCAGCTAAGAAATCACTCCCAAAGGCATCTTTCATCCCTGTCTGTGCCTTTCTCCAGGTGAGCGGGAAGCTATCCAAAAGTCTGTCACAAGAAGTTGTGTACTGGAGGAAGAGTCGGGTGAGGAGCTTTCAGATAGTGGTGAGGAGGCCACTGAAGCAATGGAGTGAAGTTCTGCAGGCCCCAGCAGCAGGCTGCACTGTAGCCAAGCCCACTAGACATTCTAGGAGACAGCAGCTTCTGCAGTTCTCCAAACTTCTGTTGCAAAAAGGGCTTACAGAATTCGTGCCCTTAACCAAGTCTCTTTCCTCATCTGCATAGTCCTTGCTTTAGTGGGAAGACTACTTCTGTGGTATTGGATGAACTTGAGACTCCTCCCCCCTAAATGGACCTGAGGCAGATAGTCATATGGAATTGTGAATATTGGTGAGACACTGTCACTAAACTTGCATAGATCTATAGCCTCAGTATGGATCCCATAGGACTTAACAATACCAGGTGATTCCTTGCCAGGACATATTCATGCAACTTACCAAGAAATCCAGCCTTTTAACTGTAATCCTAGCACTTAGGAGGCTGAAGCAGTTGCAGTCCAGACCAGTCTAAGCTATACAGCACAACCCTCTCAAAAATACAACACAAACAGCTGCTGTACCTACTTTGTCACAAGAGGGTATGGGAAGGGTTTGTTCCCCCCTTCCCTTTTTTTGGATAACTGAGTTTGCTTTCGCCTTCCTTCCTCTCCCTCTTTTCCTCCCTTCCCTTGCTCACTCTCTCTGCCTCCCCCTTTCTTGTAATGCAGTTTGAATTCAGGGCCTTGTGCTTACTAGGCACTCTAGGACAAGTTGGGTAATATCACTGAGCCACACTTCCAGATTTTTTCTTGTGCTGGTCATTTTAAGATAGGTTCTTGCCTTACCCAGACTCATGGATTTCGATCTTTTGAGCTTCCTGTCCTACCAGGGATGACAGGCTATACCAGTACCACTGGCTGTTTCTCTTAAAGAGTCTTGCTAACTTTTTTCCTGAGGCTGGTCCCACTCTCAGCCTCCCATGTAACTGGGATAGGCATAAACAACTACACCTGGCTTTTTGTTTCTTCACACACACACCCCTTCTCTTCTCCCCTCCCCTCCCCACCAGGCCTGGGGCTTGAACTCAGGGCCTGGCCTGCTCAAGGCTAGCACTCTATCCCTTGAACCACAGCACCACTTCCAGCTTTTTCTGTTTATGTGGTACTGAGGAATCAAACCCAGGGCCTCATGTATACAAAGCAAGCACTCTACCACTAAACCACATTCCCAGCCCTTTGTTGTCCTGTCTCTGCTGTGTTTTACTGCAAGAAGGGCTAATCTCACTTCAGTGGTACAGATGTTCTCCACTCATTTTAACTTTGCAGCATGCTTACTGTACAAGACCATGTAAAGTCCCTCCAATCAAGATATTTAGCTATTTATGTGACATGCTTTCTTCAAGCAAGCCACTTTTCATTCCTAAACCTTAAATTCTAAGTTGTTATGAATGAGCATATAGTATTTCAAGTTTGCTTAATTTAAGGACTGTTGATGGAGCAAAATAAAAACTTTGCTTCTTCATTTAGTGTGCAACACAGTTCTGTACTCTGAAGTTTGGTTTGCCTCTTCATCACTTGAAATGATTACACTTCTATTTAGTTCTCAGTTATGTATTTGTAATGACTAAAAAGTAAAGATGTTATGTGTTTGTCATTTTCTATTGACAATGGTCTGCACATTGGTTCTCACTTTTTTTTGGGGGGGTCCAGTCGTGGGGCCTGAACTCTGGGCCTGGGCACTGTCCATCAGCTCTTCAGCTCAAGGCTAGTGCTCTACCACTTGAGCCACAGTGCCACTTCTGGCTTTTTTTCTTTTTGCTTATGTGGTGCTGGGGAATCAAACCCAGGGCCTCAGGCATGCAAGGCAAGCGCTTTACCACTGAGCCACCTTCCCAGCCCCCCCTTTTTTTTTGTCATGGGAACTGAACTTTGGGCCTGAGCACTGTCCCTCAGCTCTTCAGCTCAAGGCTAGCGCTCTACCACTTGAGCCACAGGGCCACTTCTGGTTTTCTGGTAGTTTATTGGAGAGTTTTATGGACTTTCCTGCCCCAGCTGGCTTTGAACCCTGATCTTCAGATCTCGGCCTCCTGAGTAGCTAGGATTACAGGCGTGAGCCACTGGCACCCTGCTCACTAATCTTTATCTAAAATCTAGACTGTTAACTAGTTGGAGAGAAGTCAGTTCAGTTGTCAAGCGAATTCCACAATGATGACAAGTTTTCTGACAGCTGGTGTGGCGTGATCTTTGGATATTTGTTACACTCACTGATCTGTTTATTCAGTGCTGACTAAGTCACACCACTTTTAAAACTTGATGGAATTTTACATAACCGTGAGTCATTAAAATATTTTCCTGGGGGGGGGGGGGGATGGGAAGGGGAAACAAAGGAGGAGGCTACAATGCTTGATAAGAAATATACTCATTATCTTGCCCATGTAATTGTAACCCCTCTGTACAGTATTTTCACAATAAAAAAAACAAAAAAATAAAATATTTTCCTACTCATATAGATGAAACTATTTGTCAGTTTAGGAGCCAGGTCTATTAGTTCCCTGAAATAATTCTTAGATGATGTTCAGGTGGTTATATAACACATTCTATATAGTAGTAAGTAGTATTGTCAGCTTGCCAGGAATTAAGAGAATATTCAAAGGTAAACTTTTTTTTTTTTGGATCAGTCATGGGGCTTGGGCGCTGTTCCTGCACTCTTCAGCTCAAGGCAAGTGCTCTACCGCTTGAGCCACAGCGCCACTTCCGGTTTTCTAATGGTTTTTATTGGAGATGAATCTCACAGACTTTCCTGCCCAGGCTGGCTTTGAACCATGATCCTCAGATCTCAGCCTCCAGAGTAGTTAGGATTATAGGTGTGAGCCACCGGTGCCCAGCTTCAAAGGTAAACTCTTAAGTCAGAAGTTTTCTAAAAGTTAATAAAATTTTCATGTGATTTGTAAGAACAATTTGTGTAACATAATTTATTTTGAGGGGCTGGGAAGGTGGCTCAGTGGTAGAGCACTTGCCTTGCATGCCTGAGGCAAAAAGAAAAAAGCTGGACGTGGTGCTGTGGCTCAAGTGGTAGAGCGCTAGCCTTGAGCTGAAGAGCTGAGGGACGAGCACCCAGGCCCAGAGTTCAGGCCCCACAACCGGACCAAAAAAAAAAAATTATTTTGAGATGGGGGGAAAAATGGAATGAAACATTGGCACTTGGGAAATGGCCCAAGGGAGGGAGATGGCCTCACCTGACCTCATTATTACATAGCCCTCAAGTAGCTACCAACTTCAGTTAGTTTTGTACAGTTCTCTTTTTTCCTGTGGCCACAAAGAAATTAGGAGTAAGAGTCTTGAAGTCAGGTTTGATCTGCTTCTTCCTAATAACATTTCTATAAAAGGATGTCACTCATAGCCCCTTACACATTTCTTAGCATTGTGCTTTTTTGCTTCCATATGACCCTTAATTCCGGGCTGGAAAAATTTCTCCAGGAGTTGCTGATTCAGAATTTCCCAGAAATGGCAAGTTAAACCTAAGCCCAGCATTAGGCTTGACACCAGAAAAGATATCAGTCCATCACAACTCATCAGTCCAGCTGTTACTAACTTAATTTTAAGAAATTGTGTGTCGGGCTGGGAAGATGGCTCAGTGGTAGAGTGCTTGCCTTGCATGCATGAGGCCCTGGGTTCAATTCCTCAGCACCACATAAGCAAAAAGAAAAAGCCGGAAGTGGCGCTGTGGCTCAAGTGGTAGAGTGCTAGCCTTGAGCTGAAGAGCTGAGGGACAGTGCCCAGGCCCAGAGTTCAGGCCCCACAACCAGACCCCCCCCAAAAAAGTTGTGTGTCTATTTAATCTGTAATGAATTTAAAAAGTTTACATTTGCGTGGGTAAGTAATTTATTCCAAGTTACACAGCTTTTTGCTTACACATTCTGTTAGAGGTCACTTTATTAAGCAGTAAAAGAAGATATCACTCAAATTTGGCTGAAATCAAGGAAAGCTGCAAAGAGTAGGCAACCTACTTGCAGTTGACTTGCTCTCCCCACGTGCTGGTCTCCTATTCTTCCATCTCAGGCCACTATCACTTAAAAAAGGCTTGGTGGGAAGGGTGGCAGATCCCAGAGCTTTCTTTTTTTTTTTTTTTGGTTGGTTGTGGGACTTGAACTCTGGGTCTGGGTACTATCCTCAGCTCTTCAGCTCAAGGCTAGTGTTCTACTGCTTGAACCACAAATGCCTCTTCCGGTTTTCTAGTGGTTTATTGGAGATAAGAGTCTCATAGAGTTCCCTGTTCAGGCTGGCTTGAACCATGATCCTCAGATCTTAGCCTCTTGAGCAGCTAGGATTACAGGTGTGAGCACTGGCACCTGGCACCCAGAGCTTTCTTAATGAGAATTATAGCTTAGCTTACTCATATGAAACTTGGTTCATGAGACAGGAAACCCTCCTCCCCCAACACACCTTGTGAATACAAATACTAGGGACAACCTACCACATCCAGCTGGCCACAGCAGGGCTATTTGTTAGAAGAAAAACTTAAATTCAAGCTGTGTGTCCTAAATCCATTTTATTTGCATCCCTCTTTCTTTAACAAGGAGAACTGAGCAGGTAGGGAAGAGTTACCCATTCAGATAGGTGTGCTGAGTGACAAGGACAGCCCAACACAGGATGCCACAGCAGAGCAGTCCTGAGGGACACTGAAGGGATTCAAACTTGTTTGGTAAAGAAAATTCATTACACATGGACAGAAAGACTAACCTGGCAGCGAACTAAAAACCTTGGCAGGAAGAGATCTCGTGAGTGTCAATACTTTATTTTGGTGTAAAGACGGGAAGCTGGAAAATACACTGTATTTAAAATTTTCTTGGTTTCCCCTCACATTGTGGAAACCCCCTCCCCCCCGCCCCAAGTTAATCTGTTCAAACTCAAATACTTAAAAATTACAGCAGCAAAACAAAAGCGCAGGAAAAAAATCAGATGGAGAAGGTAGCCTTGGGCGAGTAGTGTCACTTGGTATGGACAACTGAGGTGCTGAACAGGAGCTTCTGTTTCTGCTTTTTCCTTTTCTTTCCTCCTTTCTCCTCTAAAGGGAAACAGAGAACTCAATTTGCAATGCCATCCCCTTGTCCCTGCTTTTTCATTACTAAGTCAGAGTGTGGGATAAAAGTGCAGGCCCTAGAATTCCCTGGATTTCAATAACAGTCCTAACATACTTTTTGTTGTTGCTTTTTGCCAGTCTTGGTTCTTGAACTCACAGAGCCTGGGCTCTCTCTCTGAATCTCTCTGTACTCAAAGCTAGCATTCTACCACTTAAGCCACAGTGTCACTTCCAGCTTTTTCAATTTATGTGGTACTGAGGGCTGGAACCCAGGGCTTCATGCATGCAAGGCAAGCACTCTACCACTGAGCCACCTTCCCAGCCCCTAGCATACATTTTCATTCTTGTCTGTAGGCAAGTCACTCTTCCTCCCTTGATATCAATTTCTTCAGCTGTAACTTGAACACCATACCCATTTAACATGGTTGTTGGGAAATAAAACTAGCACAGTGCTAGTTACATATAAAGCACACCATAAAATGTGTCATACTATTACAGTGTAGGGGTGGCCATGAGCCTGATTTCCCCATCTATGAGCCACCCTTTACCAACTCAAGATTCTAAAGTGTAGGCAGGATCTATGCTCCACTATTTTGGAAAAACAAATCATAGTTTCACTTCCAGGAGATGGTTAAACAAGTCCTATGCCAAACAAAACCATTAGTAGACACTCAGGTGCTGAAGACAATCCTTGAGGCTAAGAAGAAAAAGAGCCTGAACAAGCCCTGGAATCTGTAGTGGGAACAGCAACCTGAGTGCCTGTGCTGGACACTAGAGTTCCTGCCCTTACCAGAGAGGGGATCTGAAGTAGAGGGTGTGTCCAGTTTCATGAAGGCTGCTTCAATAGCTTGGCTGAATGAATTCTGGAAACTGGGCACAGGAACACGATCTGAGTTATCACTCTCCCCATCACTGTCCACGGGGGCAGGAGGAACTAAGCTGTTCTCATCTGGAAAAGACAACAGCATTCTAATTCTAGAAACAACTCTAAAGCTTTTAAGGACAGTGTCTAAGTGCCTCTTCACCAGCAGGCCCTTCTCACCTTTCTTTGGAGCAGTTTTGGGCCAAACATCTGCTTTAGCTTTTCCAACCCGCAACATCTGCCAAAGTGGAAAAGGGAGAAAAGAATTCAGCCCAATGTTTTTCCACATACCCACCTTGATAAAGGGGTATAGAGCAAACCATTAACATTTGGAAGGGGTCAGCACTAGGATGCAAACTTGGAATTACATCTGCCAGGCAGGTAGCTTTAGTAGAGCTAAAGCCCCAGCTCTTTTTTTGGCTTTTTTTTTCAGGTAGGGTTTTATATTTTACCTGGGAATAGTTTCACAATGAGATCCTCCTACATTTAGCCTACATAGAAATACAGACATATACCACCACATGAGGCTTATTACATTGGCATCTTGCAAACTTTTTTTGCAAGGCTGGTGATCCTTAATAGCTGAGATTACAGGCATGAGTCAATAAAGCCTTAAGTGGATTTGTTCTTTAGAAAATATGTAAAGAAGCTGGGCCATGGTGGCTCACACCTGTAATCCTAGCTACTTAGGACACTAAGATCTGAGGATTGCAGTTTAAAGCCAAACCAAGCAGGAAAGTCTGTGAGACTTATCTTCAATTAACCACCAGGAAACTACAAGTAGCACTGTGGCTCAAAGTGGTAGTGCTAGCCTTGAGCAAAAAAGCTCTGAGACAGCACCCAGGTCCCAAGTTCTAGTCCCATGACTGACAAAAAAAAAAAAGTAAAGAGAGAGATGTAGAGTGCTTGTCTAACATAAGCAAGGTCCTGGGTTCAATCCCTAGCAACACCAAAAAGAAAACAGAAATGGTAAAAACAAATGGAGAACATGGCAAAAAGAATTCAAGAGATGCTTAGATTCTCAGGTATGATGGTCGACATCTGAATTCAACACTGGGGAAGTTGAGTTTGGGAGGATCACAGTTCAAGGCCAGCCCAGGAGTTCATGAAACCCCATGTCAACTAATAAAAAACTGGGCTTAATGGAATGCAACTGTCATTCCAGTTATGCATGAAGTGTAAATAGGAAGGTCAGGTTTCAGGCTAGCCCAAGTGAAATGTGAGACCTTATTTTTTTTTTTACAGGTGGGAGCTGGTGACTCTCACCTATAATCCTAGCTAATCAGGAGGCTGAGATCTGAGGATCTCGGTTCAAAGCCAGTCCAGGCAGGAAAGTCCTTGAGACTCTTATCTCCAATTAACCCACCAGAAAATCAGAAGTAGTGCTGTGGCTCAAGTGGTAGGGCATTCACCTTGAGCTGAGGGACGGTGCCCAGATCCAGAGTTCAAGCCCCATGACAGACAAAAACAAACAAGCCCTATAGATTAGGGAAGCAGGGGGTTTAGAGGAGGGCAGCAGACAATTGCAGAAAATAACAGTGGGTGAGTTATACTCAATGTACATACTTCAAAGTGAAACAAGGACCATATGGTGGGGCTGGGATAGATGGAGGTGGAGAATGACAAAAGGTGACACTGAGCCCACGTGGAAGTGTGGCTCAATGCTTGGTCTAATGCACCAGCCTTGAGCAAAAAAGTCAAGTGAGTGTGTGTGCAAGGCTCCAAGTTCAACTGCAGGTGCAGCTCATGTGTGCACGTACATGCGCGCACCTGGACACACACACAGACACACACACAAGGTTACTAAGATATATCACCTATGTTTTATTCTGCTTTTGTTTTTGTTATTGTTTTTGTCAGTCATGGGGCTTAACTCTGGGCCTGGATACTGTCCCTCAGCTCTTCAGCTCAAGGCTAGCGCTCTACCACTTGAGCCACAGCGCCACTTCCTCACCTATGTTTCATTCTTACTAGAAATGTTTTTAAATGTTTAATCTGAGTCTGCTCATGAGGAAACCGACAAATCCAAATGATACCAACTGAAGAATTCAAGAAAGCAACTGGTACCAATGCATTGAGCACTAGTAGCTCCTTTAGTACTCTTGGCCTCGTTTAGAGAAAGTATAAAGTACTCGTTTTTGAGAAAGTCTAAAGTACTGAGACTCTATAAATTTCCCTCTTTAGCTTCCCACTGTTATGTACTAAAATCAATGCAACAGCTCTAGGTCTTCCTTCTCTAACAGTATTTCCAGATCATCTGCTCTCAGCCACATCCTGCTGCTTAAAGCTCCAACTGGCAGCAGATTTCCCTTATATCATCCACTAACTCAAGTTTGTTCAGCTGTATTACAATGAAGGACAAGAGTCCTTGGAAAAGCTTCTCAGAACAAGTAGAAGAATCCTTCTTAGATATTCTTGGGCTGCTTTTACAAGCAAAGGATTTACCTGGGCAAAGGAAGGGAAAGGAGAATCTTCTTCCAAACTCCCAACGCAGAAAGAGGGACTACCCTGCCCGGCAGTGGGTGACAGGGGGGTCAGCAGAAAATCTGAAAAACCAGAGACCAGATTATGTAAGTTCCAAAGTGCTAGTGTCCTAACACAATAAGCCCTGAGTCAAAGCAGGATAATTCCCACTGCATACCACTCTCCCGAAAACTTTCTCTCAATCTTTTATTACTATTTTTTTCCCTGTTCCTGGAGCTTGAACTCAGGGACTGGATGCTGTCCTTAGCTTTCTTGCTCAAGGCTGGTGTTCTTCCACTTGAGCCACACCTCTACTTTTGGCTCTTTTAGTCATTGAAAATAGTCCAGCAGCCTTTCCTGCCCAGACTGGCTTCAAACCACAATCCTGAGATCTCAACTTCCTGAATAACTAGAACTACTATAGGCCTAAGCCACCAGCACCTAGTGAAAACACAATCTTTACAGATAATATCCAATGACCTGCTATATTCCCTCATATAGCACTATTTCATTATGTGAATATAGTAGTAGAATCATATGTGATCATAGGATACCAGAGTTATACATATTCTGATTTAGTACATTTTGTTAAAAAGTGCCTGACAATCTTAAATATCTGCTGGGTGCAAGTGATTCAACACCTGTGATTCTAGCAACTCATGAGGCTGAGATCTGAGGATTGCAGTTCAAAGCCAGCCTGAACAGGAAAGTCCATGAGAATTTTATCTCCAAGTAAAAACCAAAAAAGCTAGAAGTGGAACTGTGGCTTAAATGGTAGAGCGCCAGATATTTCATTTCCTAACACTAGATTCCCTCAATAAGTGTTTGTTAAATTTTTAAAATTTTAAATGTCAACGACTTCTTTGAATACCTGACAATCCTCAATTCTCCCTCAAGAGACCTAGTCTTGAATATATATTTAGTCTCAGTATGCTATACATTCAGATATATAAGCCCACAATGAAATGATTTTGTAATGGTCATTTTTTTAAATCTTATCCACAAATGTTTAACATTCTATAATCAACTTTTCATCTTCCCATTAATTAGTAAAGGCAGCTACTTCCTTGTTCAAAAGGTATGAAGTACTGGGTGCTGGTGCCTCACACCTGTAACCCTAGAGGTACTCAGGAGGCTAAGATCTGAGGATTGAGGTTCAAAGCCAGCCTGGGCAGGAAAGTCCATGAGACTCTTACCACCAATAAACCACCAGAAAACTGAAGTGGTGCTGTAGATCAAGTGGTAGAGTGCTAGTCTTGAACTGAAGAGCTCAGGGATACTGCCCAGGCCCAGAGTACAAGCCCTATGACCACCACCACCACTACTACCAACAACAACAAAAGGTATGGGCTGGGAAGGTGGCTCAGTGGAAGAGTGCTTGCCTTGCATTCATGAGGCCCTGGGTTAGATCCACAGCCACATACACAGAAAAAGCCAGAAGTGGCGCTATGGCTCAAGTGGTAGAGCTCTAGCCTTGAGCTGAAGAACTGAACGACAGCGTCCAGGCCCAGAGTTCAGGCCCCACGACAAAAAAAAAAAAAAAAGGTATTAAGTATTTCATGACATAAATGCTGTAATTTAATCATTTTCTAATGTGTAAGCTTTTTCTTTTATTTATAAAGAATACTTTGGTAAAGAGACTCATTCAAAGATTCTCAAGCATTTAGAGGACTATGCCAAGCAAAATCTAGAAATAAAACAGCAGGAAAGAATCTAGAAAGTAGGTTTGAAATTCAGAAGCTGGGTAGCATTTAAGAAGTCTGTACAGCTAATGGGAAAAGATAATCAAATAGCAAGAACTTGAGGTAGTTTAGGACTATCTGAAGTTAAGGTTTTTCACCAAAACATGACACCATGCCAAACAGGGTCAGAGTTGTAAATTCAGATACAAGAGTGTTGCTTAAGATTTAGCTACTGCCTGAATTCTTTATATTTCAGCTCTTTACCTGTATGGGAACCTGGACTTCTACTGAGAGGAGAAAGGGAGAGGGCCCCTTGGCCCTCAGTGCTGGTAGGACCCAAAGCATGATCAGAGGAGCAGGTATAGGAATTGAAGGCAGGAAACTGCTGTAGATTCTCTAGGGGAATGTGGACTTCAGGGTCTGCAAAGGAAAAACAGTAACAGTAAACCCACTTACATAATTCCTCAAATTTCCAACAGTTAAAGACAGCCAAATAACAGACTCTGAGGGATCCAGAGAATACAGATTGGAGGATACTGTAAAATCTGCGTTTAACGCAATTTTATTTATTTTTTTTTTGGGGGGGGGAGTCCGGTCGTGGGGCTTGAACTCTGGGCCTGGGCACTGTCCCTCAGCTCTTCAGCTCAAGGCTAGCACTCTACCACTTGAGCCACAGTGCCACTTCCGGATTTTTTCTTTTTGCTTATGTGGTGCTAAGAAATCGAACCCAGGGCTCTACTACTGAGCCACCTTCCCAGCTCACAATTTTTATTCTAAATGTCTGTTTTTACTCCAAATTGTCTGGGCCTGATGGCAGCACACAGAATGTTATAATTGCAGCACTCAGGAGACTGAGGTAGGAGGATCTCTGGGTCAAGGCCAGCCCAGAGTACATATTTCAAAAGAACCAAAGCAAAGTGGAAATGGGGCTGGCTCCAGTGGAAGAATGATTGACCAACAAATGGAAGGCTTTAAATTCAACCTCAATACGGTGGAAAAAAAAAAACCCAAACCAACCAAACAACAAAAAGGCCAAACAAAGCAGGTCACACACCTGCTGTCTTAACTACAAGGGAGGCTAAAATCACCAGGCTTGCAATATGAGGTCTAGGCAGAAAGTGTCCAAGTCCCTATTTCCACCAATAAAAGAGGCTGGATGTGGTGGTACACAACTTTCATTGGGAAGCATAAATAAGAGGATCAAGGTCCAGGACATACCAGGCATCTATTTGGAAAGTAATGATAGCTAAGAACAGTAACAAAGGGCAGGGAGTATGACTTAAGTGGAAGAGTGCCTGCCTAGAAATTGCAAATCCCTGAATTCATACTCCAGTAATGCCACACACATACACACAAACACGCACATGCAAATATATGTGACTTATTCTAACTTCATAATTAAAGATGGGTGTTAAACATAGTTGTTATATGGTTCTACTTATCTAAATATTTTCCTAACAAAAAAGCTAAAGCAGGGCTGGGAAGGTGGCTCAGTGATATCGAGTGCTTGCCTCGCATGCATGAGGACCTGGGATCGATTCCTCAGCACAACATAAACAGAAAAGGCCAGAAGTGGCGTTACAGTTCAAGTGCTAGAGTGTTAGCCTTGAGCTGAAGAGCTGAGGGACAGTGCCCAGGCTTCGAGTTCAGGTCCCATGACCCAAAAAAAAAAAAAAAAAACTAAAGCCAAACATCCTGCTCTTGGCAGAGGTCAGGGCATATCCCTGTAACACAGCACTTGGGAGACTGAGGAGAAACGGCTAAACTCAAAAATTCAAGGCTGGGGCTGGGAAGGTAGTTCAGTGGTAGAGTGCTTGCCTTGCATGCATGAGGCCCTGGGTACGATTCCTCAGCACTACATAAGCAGAAAAAAGTCAGAAGTGGTGCTGTGGCTCAAGTGGTAGGGCACTAGCCTTGAGCTGAAGAGCTGAGGGACAGAGCCCAGGCTCAGAGTTCAGGCCCCACAACTGACCCCCCCCCCAAAAAAAAAGAACTCAAGGCTTGGGCTGGGAAGGTGGCTCAGTGCCTTGCATGCATGAGGCTCTAGGTTCGATTCCTCAACACCACATAAGCAGAAAAAGCCAGAAGGGGAACTGTGGCTCAAGTGGTAGAATGCTAGCCTTGAGCTAAAGAGCTGAGGGACATCGCCCAGGTACAGAGTTCACACCCCACGACAAAAAAAAAAAAAAAAAATTCAAGGCTTGCCAGGTGCCAGTGGCTCACATCTATAATCCTAGTTACTCAGTAGGCTGAGATCTGAAGGTTGCAGTTCAAAGCCAGCCCAGGCAGGAAAGTCCATGAGACTCTTATCTCCAATGAACCAGCAGAAAACCAGAAGAGCTGCTGTGTGGTTCAAAGATGTAGAATGCTAGCCTTGAGCAAAAGAGCTTAGGGACAATACTCAGTTCAAGACTTAGAACTGACAAAAATTTAATGAATAAAAAGTAAAGCCCCTTTCCTGAAACATTTGTTTTCTCAAGTTGAGGTTGTATGAGCCAAATAGCAAAGTACTAGCAGTCCTAGCGTACGCTTGCTCCACTCTGGGGAAATTTATAGGGTTTGCTATACCACATGGAATCCTAAGAACTAGGTGCTTTTCCCAGTCAAGGACTCAAATCTTTGTTTCCTGGTATATAAGTAGGACCTCAGTTACATTAAACCCCTAGATTCAATGAAGTTTATGCTAGAGAATCAGATCCTAAGATTGTGCTTTACTGGTACAACAGTTCTCAAATGTGTAATTTCCTTCACGTTCTTCCTAGCTTGCCTGCTCCATCAGACCCTCCTGGTACTCACTGTGTAGTACTGTCCCTCAAACAGGGGTAAACTGGGCATGTGGCTCACGCTTGTAATCTAAGCTACTCAGGAGGCTGAGATCTGAGGATTCAGGTTCAAAGCCAGCCTGGGCAGCAAAATCCATGAGATTTTAATCTCCAATTAACCACCAAAAAACTCAAAGTGGTAGAGCACTAGCCTTGAGCAAAAGAGCTCAGCGACAATGCCCAGGCCCCCAGTTCAAGCCCCACGATCAACAACAAAAATAGTCAGGGGATACCCATTATTCACAGCACCAGGACTCTAGCACTCCCAGCACATCTCTAACTTCCTCTCTGGAAACAGTGTGAATCTCATCTTCACTTTTACTATGTGCTTTGTATACTCAAACAAACTCATTAAATATTCAACCAACCCTATAAAGCAAGTACTGTCCTAACTCACAGGTCCAAGAATTGAAAGAAACAAACTGCAGAACACAAACCAAGTAGTCTGGTTCCAGGCCCAGAGCTTCCACACAATGACATATGGCACAAGCAGTCAAAGGTAAGAGTTCCTGAACGTACACTTGCCCTGCTTCTTGTTCTCCTCCATTTCAATCCTGCGCTCTCGGCGGCGTTCCTCCCGGGCCTTCTTCTGGCGCTGGCGCTTCCTCTTCTCAATATCATCTGCAGATTAGCCAAATTGTGAAAAGGCAGGTCTTAGAGCACCTGGACTCTTCCTGGCTAACTAGTAACAAAGCCTACAGTGGATCCAACTGGACAGATGATCATACGGAGTGTTTCTGGAAGAATCAACTCATGATACAGTTCCTCAAAGTCTCCACCCACACTGGTTTCTGGTCTGAAGTCCCTGAACCCCACTACAGATGCAAAATGGCAACTTTCTTACCTGAGAATATCTCTAGGGTTTCCTTAGAGACCACAGGAGGCTGCAGAGCCAGTTCGCAAATGCTGAACTCACAGGTAAGAGGCAAGTGGGAGAGATATCTATGACGCTGTCGAACATCCTATATTGGAATTAAGACCAGTACTTGAGAACAAAGGGTCTCAAGCCAGATTTCCAACAGTACACACATATTCACAGACAGCCCTAGCACTCAAAAGACTAGTACACAAGTTAAACTACTTTGAAAAGCCAAATAGAAACTGGTTTGGCTACAACAAGACAGGCACCAATCAAGAGATTTTTCCTAGACTATGCTGCAAATGAACAAATTGAGCCTAGTAACAAATTATCAATAGCTATTCAGCAAAGAGCAAACGGCACATGGTCTCCCTGATCAATCCAAAATGCAAGGTGATATGACAAAATTAACAAGGCTTAAAAAACAAAGGACTTCCACTCATCTGGTCGAATCACTACCCATGCTGCTGATCACATATATGGTACATACTTGCACATCACAGGGAAACCAGGAGGAAGACACAGAACTAGAGGGAATCAGGGAAAAACATACAATAGCAGGACCCATCAGCTGCACTGGACATTGATCAAAACGAACCGAGCAACTCAATGACAGCAATGGGAGGGAGGGAACAAGTGGGAAAGAGGTAACAGCTGACACTATGCAAAACAAAAGAAATGTACATATCACCCGATGTGGAAGAAATAACTGTATTGTCAAAGCTCATAGAACTCATAAATGTTATAGACCATGATAGACAATTTGTCCCATGAAAGTTAGAATGTGTTTTATGACTTTAACTAAGCATCATTATTCCACAATACTGTAAAAATTGGGAAATTAGGGGCTGGGAAGGTGGCTCAGTGGTAGAGCGCTTGCCTTGCATGCCTGAGGCCCTGGGTTTGATTCCTCAGCACCACATAAGCAAAAAGAAAAAAGCCGGAAGTGGCGCTGTGACTCAAGTGTTAGAGCTCTATCCTTGAGCTGAAGAGCTGCAGGACAGTGCCCAGGACCAGAGTTCAGGCCCCATGACCGGACCCCCCAAAAAAGGGGGAACATTATGTAAACAATCACAATAAAGAATTTTAAAAAATAGCTATTCAGCTGTTTCTGATTTTCTAGGGTCTACAATGGAAGAGAGAGAATAGGCAATTAGGAGAAAAAAGCAAAAAATAACTCTGGGACCCACTGACAGAACTAATGGTAACTAGGAAGAGAAATGATATTTCCCTACAGAATGAAGTCTGGTCTGAAACAGGGAAAGATAAATCCCATTAACTTATTTGCTAATCTTCTCTGAATGTGTATGATGGAAAGCTGACAGTACTCCAAGTCTCTAGTTTTTAAGGCTTCTAACAAATTGGTGATCAATACTGGAGTTAATTCCAAAAAAGCAAAAATATACTTATATAAACTATTAGACTGTAATTCAGTTATCTGCTAAGCTAAAAATGTACCTTATGCCTGTGTGATCTGGCTTATAGCTCCAACAAGTTTTCAATTTTTTTTTCTTTTCTTTTTGTTGGTAGTCGGGCTTGAACTTAGAGCCTGGGCCCTGTCCCTGAGTTCTTTTGCTCAAGTGTAGCACTCTACAACTTTGAGCCACAGTGCTACCAGTGGTTAATTGGAAGTCTTACAGACTTCCTGCCTGGCCTGGTTTCAAACAATCCTCAGATATTAGCCTCCTGACTAAGTAAGATAACAGTTGTGAGCTCACAAGTTGTGAGCCTGGGCAAGTTTTCAATTTTTATGGATAGTTCTAATAAGCAACCAGAAGAAAGAGAAACAAGCACAAACTCCATCTTGAATGAAATGAGACTTCCATATCTACAAACCACAACAAATTATCCTGGGGAGCAAGAGAGCAATGTAAATTGACTTACCAAGCTCTGTCATAGTAAAGGAGAAGCATCTAACTTTAAAAGGAAAAAAAAAAAAATATTCACAGCACCATCATCAAAAAAACAGACAAAACAAAACAAAAAAAACATACCTAAACCTGAGGTTGTGCCTAGCACATTCAAGGCCCTAGGTCTGATTCCCAGCATAAGAAAAACAAATAAAAGTCTTATCACAAACCTTGGGAGGACTACCAAAAGAAATTAGGGGTTGTTATTCCCTACCCCTCCCTCCTTACCTCAGACATGGAATACCCAGCAATCTCTACCACAGTTGCTGAAATCTTCTCCGGGCTCTGCTCCAGGCTGCCATACTCCCGTACAAGGCAGCGCACATTCACAGGATGCAGGAACATATGCTGCCCATCCTCCGCTGAAGACAAGAGCTCTATCACAAGTCAATTATTTTTAAGGGGGGGGGGTCTTGAACTCAGGGGCTTTGCTTTGCTCTCGCTAGGCAGGTGCCTACCACTTAAACCACACTTCCACCCCACACAACTATCCTGTCCTAGATAGGCCTGCCATGGCCTCCCTTAGCTGAAAGACCCTAAAATCCAAACACCAGGACCTAGTAGAAATCTGTCCTGTTCAGAAGACCAGGTGATCCTTTGCAAACACCTCTGTGGCAAGCCAGCCCTCCCCCCTCAGGGCTCTCACCTTGGTAAAAGTAGTAACAAGGAGAGCTGCTCAGGTGTGTGAAACCTGGTTTGGTGATGGGCTCCTGCTGACCAGCCTCAGTACAAATGGTTCTCTCCCCAAGACTGTCATCTGCTAACTCCGAGTCATCACAGGTCTCTGACAACCCCTCAGGCTCAGGTTCAGACACTCCTTCCTCTTCCTCTACCAGAGGCAGAGCAAGAGGATGAGAGTCCAGAGAACAAACTTCTGTGGTTTCTTCATTGAAAGCAGAAAGATACTCTAGCATACCCTGTCGGAACAAACTCTAGGTCAACAGAAAGTTATGTTTTGTTTTCAAACAGTGATATGGCAAAAACAAGGGTAAGAAGCTTCCTGGATATTTATCTGAGCTCTCAGCTACTGATTTAACACCTCGGGCAAAGAGCAATGAGCATACAGGAATCATGAGTCATAGTCCCCTCTGTCCCAGAAGTTCAGATCTCACAACAGTGCATTTGAGGAATGACAGCCATTTCATCTGTAACGGGGGCACACTGACCTTCCTTGGTTGGAAAACAGATTCCTTTGCCAAGGGAGCCATCAGCACCAGTTGTTCTAGAGCAGCCATGACACCAGTGACCTCGCCTCTGCTTTCAGCCAGTCCTGACAGAGCCTCTTCCCGAGTCTAAGGCCACCAGGAAGAAGACCAGAAGGAAGTAAGTTTCCAGAAACACATTCATTTTGAAGGGCAAGGACTTAGAATGGCCCCTTCTCAAGAGAAGTAACTAAACCCAAGGGGAAGAGGTTTAGTTAGGTTATTAAAACCCTCACTTGGGCTGGGAAGGTGGCTCAGTGGTAGAGCGCTTGCCTTACATGCATGAGGCCCTGGGTTCGATTCCTCAGCACCACATAAGCAAAAAGAAAAAAGCTGGAAGTGGCGCTGTGGCTCAAGTGGTAGAGCACTAGCCTTGAGCTGAAGAGCTGAGGGACAGCGCCCAGGCCCAGAGTTAGGTCCCACAACCGGGCCCCCCAAAAATAAATAAAAAAATAAAACCCTCACTTGTTGAAGGAAGCAGGTAGCAAAAACACCTAGTACTTACACATGTACAGTGGCTCAATCCTGTTAGTTGGGAGCCAGAGATTAGGGGAGTGCAGTCTAAGGACAAAAATGCTCAATAGCTAGTCATGGTGGAGTGCACCTGTCATCCCAAGCTACAGAGGTAGCAAAATGGCTGGGTATACCTGTATACACCTATAATCCCAGCAACCTGGAGAGGCACTAATTAGGGAGATCACAGTCCAGGTCAACCTGGCCATAAAAGCAAAACTTTAGCCAGGCATGGTGGCTCACACCTATAATCCTAGCTACTCAGGAGGCTGAGATCTGAGGATCACAAATAAAATCCAGCCCAGGCAGGAAAGTCCGTGAGACTCTTATCTCTAATAAACCACTAGAAAACTGGAAGTGGCGTTGTGGCTCAAGTGGTAGAACACTCACACTCACCTTGAGCTCTAGAGTGCAGTAACAGCACCCAAGCCCAGAGTTCAAGCCCTATGACCGACCAAAAAAAAAAAAAAAAGCATACTGGGCACCTGTGGTTTATTCCTGTAAGCAAAAGAAGTTAAGGACAGTGCCCAGACCCTGAGTTCAAGCCCCAGGACTGGCAAAAAAAAAAAAAAAAGGAGTTGAGCACTGGTGGCTTATGCTTATAATTCAGCTATTCAGAAGGCTGATACATGAGGATAAAGGTTCAAAACTAGTCAGAGCATTCACTGAGCACATTTTTTGAGTGTCTTCTATGAACAAGACATAGTGTCAAATGTTTAATTCTGGAATCCAAGGACTAATAATAAAATAGAATAATGATGGAGATTTTACTACCCCAACAGCCCTCTAAAAAAGCTATTATAATTTAGATAGTACGGTATGTCACAATAAACAAATCAACAACAGAACAATCCAAAGCCCCCCTCCAAAAAAAAAAAAACTTAGCCAAAGCAGACAAACTTGAGGAACTCATCTCCAATTAACTAGAAAAAAACTGGAAGTAGAGGAGTGTGGCTCAAGTGGTAGAATGCCAGCCATGAGCAAAAAAGTCAAGAGAGCCCACAAAGGCCTGTATTCAAGTCCCAGTAATGACACCAAAAAAGAAAAAAGATTTTAATCTATGCTTTTAGCTCTAGAAAGGACCTAAAAGACTTCTTTACCTTCCATCTCATCACCACACAAGTCCAGTGCAGAGTGGCATTTCAAGCCATTCTCTGCTTATTAGCTTTAGTGTGGGCTGAAGTAATTTGTCCCTAGCATCTGTCCCCAGACATGAAGTTAAAAACATCTTTGGTTCTACTGTCCAATGAATTCTTTACCTTGAGCTCCTGGATAGCTGCCTCAATAAAACAAGACTCAGGAGTGTGCTTCTCTTCTGCCAGCTGCTGCTCCAATGCTACTTTCTCTTCCAGAACCACCCGTTGCAACACCTGCTCTTTAGAGGCCAATAGCAGCTTAGAATATTGGCTGTGCTGTTCATCTGCAAGAAAGCCAGTAAGATCATAAAAATGAGACAATAGTTTATTGCTGGGTTCCAATGGCCTGTAATCCTAGCTATTCAAGAGGCTGAGATCTGAAGATCATGGCTTGAAGCCAGCCCAGGCAGGAAAGTCAATGAGACTCATCCCAGTTAATCAACAGAAAACTGGAAGTGGAACTGTGGCTCAAAGTGGTAAAGAGCTAGCCTTGAGTGAAAAAGCTCAGGGAAAGTGCCCAGACACTAAATTAAAGCCCTACAACTGACCCCACCCCCCAAAAAAAAATTACAAAAATGCAATTCTCAGCCAGGCACTAGAGGCTAACACCTATAATCCTAGCTAGCTACCCAAGAGGCTGAGATCTGAGAATCACAATTCAAAGCCACTCCTGGCAGGAAAGCCTGTGAGATGATTATCTCTAAATAACCACTAGAAAACCGGAAGTGGCTCTGTGACTCAAAGTGGTAGAACACTGGCCTTGAGCAAGCCCCACAACCAACAACAACAAAAAAAAGTCTTTAACTCTGACCCCTTAATATGAGAAGTCTAAGAAAATCAGAGATAAAAATCAAATATTTAATTGCACAAGTATTTAAGTATATATAACATTATATAGAATGTCAGAAAAGTAGGAGCTGGGAATGTGGCCTAGTGATAGAGTACCCAGCATGTATGAAGCTCTGGGTTCAATTCCCCAGTACCACATAAAGAGAAAAAGCTGGAAGTGGCACTGTGGCTCAAATGGTAGAGTGCTAGCCCTGAGCAAAAGAACCTCAGGGACAGTGCCCAGGCTGAGTTCAAACACAAAACTGGCAAAAAAAAAAAAAAAGGAAAATGAATAATTCTAATAAATGGTTTATTACATGGTTTATTGAAAAGAATTTTATGGTATCGTTCAAATAGTTCAGCTCCTACCTAGTAGGGCATGAAGGTTGAGTTCAAACCCCAGTACCCACAAAAGAAGGAAGGGAAGAAATTTCTAAGATGGAACAACCACTAACATTATAAAGAAATGTCTATGTTCTAGGAGAAATGCAGGTGTCAGAATAACAAATCTAATTTCAATTTCTCAAAATATATATGTACTGAAGAAAGTCTGTAATTAACATTTTGTACCACCTTTAGGAAAATATCATAGATAACTTTGATTTCTTTTCTTCCTTCTCCTAGATTTTCTGGAGTGGGGATTGAATCCCTGGCCTGTGCATCCTTGGCAAGCAATCTACCACTGAGATACATCCTCAGAGCTTGGTTTTTTAAAAATAGTTCTTACTATGTAGCATAGGCTAGAAACAGCCTACACAAAGAGTAAACTTCTGACACTACAAAGGGCTGGCAATGCAGCAATCCAATCTTTTTTTTTTTTTTTGTCGGTCAAGGGGTCTGAATTCTGGGCCTGGGCGCTGTCTCTCAGCACTTCAGTTCAAGTTCTACTACTTGAGCCACAGTGCCACTTCCAGCTTGGTCTGCTTATGTGGTGCTGAGGAATCGAACCCAGGGCCTCATACGTGCAAAGCAAGCACTCTATCACTGAGCCACCTTCCCTGCCCCATGCAATCCAATACTCTTAAAGGCTGTACTCAGGATTACCTGCCCCCAAAATAATGAGAACTCACCTCCTAGATGAATAGGATGGTCTACATTCATCCACTTGGATTTGGGCAAGGCTACTAACACTCCTTTCTCCCTCTTCATCAGCTGCATTGTAATGTTATCACCAACAACATACTGACGTGATTCTGTGGCAACCACACTGTAATAAGGACAGTTAGATGAAGCAGAGCAAGATGCTAGTGGACTTGAGCCTAACCTAGTAAAGGCCTCAGTCATACCTCTTGAGATCCTTCTTATGCACAGAACTGTAACAAATGGGACATTTACTCCAGGTCTTCTCGCTCAGTGAAAGATAATGCAGGATGCATGCCCAGCAGAAGATGTGTCCACAGCGAGTTATCTTCGCTGCAGTAGGTGGATAGAGGCATATTGGGCAAGATGGCACTTCATGGCTACAGATGCGCTGAAACAAAATGCCACCATAATTTCAGAACTGACCAGGGGTATCAAAGTTCAAAACCTCAGCCTCTCCCATCTCCTCTCATCCCTACTCAACACATTAAAATTATTTAACAATGTAGGTATAAAGGATGACATCATTTTAAGCAAATTGTTTACTAAATCATATATTTCACTTACAAAAACAATGAGTATGCATAGAGTGAAGGATTAACAGAGCACCATAAGTAATCTGCCAACAAATCTATCAATAACTTCCAAACAACTTTTGTTTATGCATATATTTTTTTAAGTCAACTCTTTTTATTTGTTCATTTCTTGCATTTGAAGTACTCTTCGATGACATCCTTAGCCTGAGATTCTTTGCCATAGTCTTTAACTACACAACTGCAATCAACTACTTTATGGGGCTTTCCCTCTCGACCAATTTTGCAAAGATCTACCCACTCCCCTAGTTTTTTTGCTGTCAGCAACCTTAATAAGATTGATTTGGTGCTCAGCACAAAAGGCCTCCACCGACTTGGACATACATGGGCTCGCTGCAGTTGGATGTAAGCACACAAAGGTGTGCTTGGCACTTGTCTAGGGCTTTGGCAGCTTCGTGGATTCCACGTGCTAGGCCGTCGTGGATGAGGGCGGTCTTCAGCACCTCTTGTAAAGCAGCATTGACATCCAGTACACCTCCAGCAGCAATGCCTTCCTCAGCCATGGTGGTGGATTATGGTGAAGCTGAATCTTGAGCGCACCTGAGCTTCCGCCTCCACACTGGGGCAGGGAAAGAGCTATGCATCTATTTTTAACTGGTATGTATTAAACTTAATAGGCCTATGTCAGTCTCAGAGGGCTTTATGAATTCTCACAGTAATAGCTTAATTAAAACAACAACAGGCCAGTGGCTAGTGGCTCACACCTCTAATCCTAGCTACTCAGGAGGCTAAGATTTGAGGATCACAGTTCAAAGCCAGCCCCCAGCAGAAAAGTCCTAGAGACTCTTATCTCCAATTAACCACCAGAAATGGCACTGTGGCTCAAGTGGTAGAGGGCTTGCCTTGGGCTAAAGAGCTCAGGACAACACTGGGGGGGGGGGGTGAACAAAGAAAGAAAGGAAAAAAAACTGCCATTCTGAAAGTGGTTCTCCATCAGTTACACTGTTAGGACCAGCAAGGACATACTTTAACTTCAGTTGGAAAGAAATATAACAATGACTTTGGCAGAAAGTGCAGCTGTGCACTACACAAAGGGCTACCAATGAAGCAAGTCCTTTTTTTTTAAAGAAATCTTTATTGAGATTGTGATTACATAAATTTCACAAATTTCACAGTATTGTAAGATAGTGATACTATTAAAGTCACATACACATTTTAACCTTCACAAGGCAAATTGTCATCATCGTGGTCTATAACGTTTATGAATTCTATAAGCTTCGATGATACAACTATTTCTTCCAAATTGGGTGATATGTACATTTCTTTCGTTTTGCTTAGTGTAAGCGGTTCCCTCTTTCCCTTTTATTGCTGCTGGAGTTGCTTAGTTCATTTTTATCAATGTCCTGTGCAGCTGATGGGCCCCTCTGTTGTCTATGTTCCCATTTCCCTCTGATTCTATGTCCTCCTCTCCTAGCTTCACTCAGATGTGCACATACATATACACCACATAGTAATGATACAAAAAAATTGAGTGGAAGTCCTTGTTTCATGAGTCCTGTTTACTTTGTCATATCTCCTTGTATTTTGGATTTAACCTCCACCTATCAGGGAGACCATACGCCATTTGTCTCTCTGAAGCAAGTCCTTTTAACGGCTTGATCAGGAGGAGGGAACTACAGCCCCTCACAAGGGCCCTGCTTACTGCATCCCCAGGGAGCACTCGGTGGTGTAGATAGGACTGTTTATATACCTTTAGATCAGAGCCTTTCACATCCTATGCCTGCAAGCCAGTGTCAACTAGATCTACAAAGGAATTCTGGGAGGAAGCAAGGACTGGCCTCTGAGAACTATCTACCCACTAGGCAAGCAGAAAGGGCTATCAGTAGTGCACACAGCCAACAGCTGCTGTGTCACCACCTTCTCTTTTTTAGTTCTCTCCCACTAACTAACAAGTCTGTCTGAGCTACTCACCACTTGTTCCACAAAGTCCCAGTTGACTAAGGTATCAGGATCAGCAAAATGAGCTGTGTAGTCTTGGTCTTCAGACACTACAAACTGGCAGCTAGAAATAACAAGAAAAACAACAAAATGGTCCTAAGCAGAAATTTGTCATCTCTTCACTCAAACTTCAAATGCAGGCCAGTAACAAGCATGGTTTATGAAGCACTGTAACAGGACTTTGAGCTCCATTTTAGAGCTCTGGTTCTAGAAGGAATCCAATCTAAGCAAGAAGTACAAACCTATGAAGTGTTCCCTTGAATTAATCTACCTCTACCAAACAATTCCTCCTCAAACCTTGGAACCCCAGAACACGGTTCATCTTCAAGGGAATAGAAACTATTTTCAATCATCTGAGACCAGTTTATATAAAGTATACAAAAGGAACTACAGATATGACTCAAGTGGTAGAGTGTTAGCAACAGCACCAAAAAAAAAAAAAAAAAGCTTACAATGTATACAGTAGTTAATTCAGTCTACAGCCAAAGTCGAATCTTATAACTACGGCTACACAAAAGGATAGCTGGGCATGGCAGCACTTGCCTATGGCACTAACTACTTGGGAGGCTGATGTGAGAGGATCAGTTGAGCTCAGGAGTCTAAGGCCAAAATGAGCAACATAGTAAGATCTCAAAAAAAAAAAAAAAAAAGCAGAATCTTTTTTGTTTTTTTTTGGTCCTGGGGCTTGAACTCTGGGCCTGGGAAATGGCCCTGAGCTCTTCAGCTCAAGGCAAGCATTCTACCACTTGAGCCACAGCACCACTTCCAGTTTTCTGGTGGTTAATTAGCAGTTAAGTGTCTCATAGACTTTCCTGCCCTGTCTGGCTTAGAACTGCGGTCCTCAGATTTCAGCCTCATGAGTAGATAGGATTACAGGTGTGAGTCACCAGCTCCTGGCCTCTTTATTTTATTTTTTTTAATGGGTTGTGGGGCTTGAACTCAGGGCCTACTCTGAGCTCTTTTGCTCCAGACTAGTGCTCTAACACTTTGAGCCATAGCTCTACTTCTGGTTTTCTGGTGGTTAATTGGAGATAAAAGTCTCATGGACAGGCTGGGAAGGTAGCTCAGTGGTAGAGTAGCTTGCCTTGCATGCATGAGGCCCTGAGTTCGATTCCTCAGCACCACACAAGCAGAAAAAGCTGGAAGTGGT